TGACACAACTTGATGTGTCAAATGCAAGGATGTCATGGGAAGGATGGAGTACTACTTTCCCCTATTCCTCACAGTACAGCTAAAAATCCTGGATATTATGTATAAAGCAAACATAAGATAGTTCTACAAGGTGGAGAGAGAATGGACTAGTTAGGGACCTCAGAACCTGAGGAACAACACAACAGTGAGTTTTCTTTTTGCCTCATCTGTCCCAGATTGGACTCTGGAGAAGCTGGTAACCCAGAAATGCCAACAGGCACAAACTAAAAAAGGCCCCCAAAAGTCTGCTCGTCCAGCCAAAAGACTGGGAATGGAGCAACCTAGCAAGACACAACACTTTTTAAGACAATAATCATCCTATTCCAGCCAGACACCACAGAAGAAAGCTGCAGTCCTATCCCCACCAACAAAGGTTGAGTGGGGAGCCTACAATTCCACCCACACCAGGCTGTAACAAGGCTCCTCAACCCTCCATCTTTACTCTGGGGGGGTAGTATCAGAGAAGGCCAAGTGGACCAACAGATTTCCAAAACCCACTGCTCCCCCCACATCACCCTGGCAGTGTCAGTGAAGACCATGTGGGGAGACTAAGCATCCAACCCTACCCAGAGACAAGACATCCCATTCCTTACTCGTGTGGTATCAATGGAGGCCTAGTGGAGGGTCAGGACTTACACCAATGTCCAGTAGTAATGAGGTCATCCCATCCCACCCCATGAGGACAGTAGAGGCCATGTGAGGAGCAGTAATGAGATATTCCTGGTCCTTCCAGCCAGTGTGCCACCAGTGGAGGCCTAGTGGGGAACTGTAAGTCCCATTGCTGCCCAACAGTATTGAGGACCTCTGCCCCAGGTGTCATCACAGGCCAGTAATGAACCTCGATTTTTAATACCAACTTAATGACGTAGCACCCCCCCAATCCTTTCTACCCTAGAGTTGTGTCAGAGGAAGCCTGCCAAAACAGATGATTGACATAGGATACTAAGTCTCATAATACTTAAAATTGTTCAGATTTCAATTGAAAATCAGTCATCAAACCAAGAACCAAGAAAAATCTCAATTTAAATGAGAAGATAATCCACAGATACTGACACTGAGATAACATAGACGTTAAAATAACCTAACCTGACAAAGACTTTAAAGCAGTCATCATAAAAATGCCTCAGTGAGTAATTACAAACATACTTGACACCAATAAAATAGAAAATCTCAGCAAAAAAAAAAAAGAACCAAACAGAACTGAAAAATACAATACCTGAAATAAAACTCAATTACAAGCTCAACAGTAGAATGGAAGAGATAGAAGGAAGAACTAGTGAACTTGAAGATAGAACAATAGAAGATACTCAATGTGAACATAGAAAAAATTGCTATGGACTGAATTGTGTCCCCCAAAATTCATTATGTTGAAGTCCTAACTCCCATTGTGAGTGTATTTGGAGACAGGCTCTTAGGAGGTAATTAAGATTAAAAGAGGTCATAAAAGTGGGATCCTAATCTGATAGGACTGGTGGCCTTATGAGATGGACAACTTTCCCTTTGCACACATGCACTGAAGAAAGGCCATGTGAGGACACAGTGAGAAGGCAACCATCTAGGAGCTAGGAACTGAACCCTGCTGGACCTTGATTTTAGATTTCCAGCCTCCATGACTGTGAGAAATAAGTCTGTTGTTTGAGCCACCCAATATATGGTATTTGTTTTATGACAGACCAAGTAGACTAAGATTTTGGTACCAAGAAGAGGGATGCTGCTGTAACAAACACCTAAAAATGTGGAAGCAGCTTTGAAACTGGGTAATGGGTAGAGGCTGGGAGAGTTTTGAGGTGCATTGCTAGAAATACAGATATTAAAGGCCACTCTGACAAGGTCTCAGATGGCAATAAGCTACATATTACTGGAACTGGAGGAAAGATGATTCTTGTTACAAAGTGGAAAAGAACTTGTCTGAACCATTCTAATGTTTTGTGGAAGGTAGAACTTGGGAGTGACGAAATTGAATATTTAGTAGAGATTCCTGAAGAAAGTACTGAAGATGCAGCTTGGTTCCTCCATACCGCTTACAGTAAATTGTGAGAGGAGAGAGATGAATTAAAGAAGGAATTGTTAAGCAAAAAGGAACCAGAATTTAAGAGATTTGGAACATTCTGTCTATCCATATCACAAAAATATGAGTTTGTTATGAAGAAAACACAAAAAGTGTGGCTGAACAACAATTTCGTAACAGAGATCACAGATGTGACTAATGGACTTCATCAGCCCTCTCAGCACAAGCCAGGAATAGAAATGGGAGAAACAGTCAGATGGGACTAAAGGGGACACAAAATAAAATAAAATAAAACAAGAAATAACAAAACAAAATGAAGGCCATAGGATTTCTTAGATCCTATAGGACCAGACAATAAAGCTATCTGGCTGTGAACATGTGCTATTCTTCAAGAAAAGGGAAGAATGACCTTTAAAGCAATTCAGAGACTGTCAAGATTGCTTCCTGTTTCAAAAGGTGGAGCCATCACCTTGGCTTTTGCAGGCCAGACAGCCTCCAACTGAAGCCTTAGGGCAAACTGCCCTAGAGAACCTTGGCATAGCCACAGAGGCAGGACCACTATGCTAGGTTTCAGACTTGCTTGGGACCCATCACCCCTTCCTTCTTTCCTATTTCTCCCCTTTGGAAGGGAGTATCTACATTATGTCTGTCCCACAATTATATTTTGGAAGCACAAAATTTTTTTGGTTTCATGGGTTCATAGCTGGAGAAGAATTTTGCCTCAGGATGAGTCCTATCTTGAATCTCACCCATATCTAATTTAAGTGATATTTAGATGAAATTTCAGACTTTAGAGTTGATGCTAGAGTGAGTTAAGACTTTGGGGGCTACCGGAATGGAATGAATGTATTGTGCATATAAGGACATAAATTTAGTGGGGGTCCAGGGGTGGAATGCTATGGATAAAATGTGTCATTCCCCTCCGCCACCCCCCAAATTCATTTTTTTTTTTTTTTTTTTTTTTTGAGACGGAGTCTTGCTTTTGTTGCCCGGGCTAGAGTGAGTGCTGTGGCGTCAGCCTGGCTCACAGCAACCTCAAACTCCTGGGCTCAAGCAATCCTTCTCCCTCAGCCTCCCGAGTAGCTGGGACTACAGGTATGTGCCACCATGCCCGGCTAATTTTTTCTATATATTTTTAGTTGTCTGATTAATTTCTTTCTATTTTTAGTAAAGACGGGGTCTCGCTCTTGCTCAGGCTGGTTTCGAACTGCTGAGCTCAAACAATCCGCCCACCTCAGCCTCCCAGAGTGCTAGGATTACAGGCATGATCCACCGCGCCCGGCCCAAATTCATTATGTTGAAACCCTAACCTCCAATGTGACTGCATTTGAAGACAGGGCTTTTAGGAGGTAATTAAGGTTAAACGAGGTAATACAGGTAGGGGCCTAATCTGACAGAATTGGTGGCCTTGTAAGAAGGAGATCTCTCTCTCTCTCTCTCCCCGTCCCTCACACCCTCCTTCTCTTTCTCGCTCTCTGTCCCTCTCTAAGGAAATGGCATGGGAAGACAGTGAGAAGGTAGCCATCTGTAAGCCAGGAAGAGAACTCTCAGTAGCAGCAGAGTCAGCTGGCACATTGATCTTGGTCTTCCTAGCCTCCAGAACTGTGAGAAACAAAATTTTTGAGTCACCCAGTCTATGGCAGATTAAGCAGCCTAAGACAAAAATAGAAAAATGAACAGAGCCTTTGAAACTTCTGGGACCACAACCAAAGATCTAATATTTCTGTCATTAGAGTCTAGAAGGAGAAAAAGGGTGGACAGTAGGGGTTAAAAATGTATTTGAAGAAATGATGGCTGAAATTTTCCCATATTTGCTAAAACCTACATATTGAAGCAGCTCAGCAAACCCACCAAACGATAAACTAAAAGAAATCCACACCAAGACACATCATAGTGAAACTTCTGAAAATTAAAAACACTGCACTCAAAACATTTCTAGTAGTAACATTCAAAGCTTCAATGAAAAAAAAAAAATATATATATACACAAAGATGTCATCTGCCTCTACCTAAGAGTAAAATGGTGAAAGGCAAGTATTTCAAAGTTTTTTCAAGTTTTTCACAATCTAATATGCAGTGTCAGTGCAAGTCCACAACTAAATTTCACCTTATGGCATGAAAAAATTTAAGGTAAAACTAGACACAGCTGAGGTAAATTTTTATAAATAAGCATATTCTCAGGTAACTCAGTCAGCTTAAAATATGTTGAACATATCAAAGATCTATTCTATACTTTCCCTTCCTAAGCTGTAGGTCTTGACCCTCAGAATTAACATGATTCTTAGTAGGTGACAAAAGCAGACTCCCAGGCCAACATTCCTTAGGTTCGGGGTAAAGCTGCCCTCACGGAAACTTTGTAACTGACCAACTAACAAGTCTAATATTTTTCCTGGTTGTGAATATTCAGTTGAGTAGTTATTTCAATTGATATTTCTTGGGTTCATTTCCTCAGCTCTTTTTTTCTACCTTTCCTATCTACTTCCTTTGTACTTAAGGATTAAGGACAACTTCCTTTCTACCACCATTCCTGATCCTAGACAAACTCACTGTGAATTCTCAATCTTATTTCTATCCCTGCCATTTCCCTAAGAGTACCACTTTTCTCTTTAAAACTTATGTCTTTGGCATTATGAAACTACCTGCTCCAGTTAAGATGTCCTCTTTCTACCATGGCACATCCTATTTCTCTCTCAAGCATTTGGTAGTTTACATACGCATTAGGGTTTTAGAAATAATTTTCCTCTTTCCCCAAGGAAATTCACAGTGTCCTCCACTAGGACATTTTAAAAAATGTAAAACTGCTCTTTCACAGTCTAAGTAAGCTATGTCCCCCATCAGCAATGATGTCTCAGTAACTTTTTTATAACAGAGTCTTACATTTCTTTGTAGCCCCCACAGTAGGTCTGGTAAATGCTCAATACATATGTTCTGAATGTACCATATTTACATAGTCTTTATCCAGTATGAATTCTCTTTTGTTGGCCACAGGCTATATGCTCACTAAAGGCTTGTACATATTCCTTGGATTTCCCTACAGTATGCGTTTTCTGGTGTTGAGAAAGGGATGAACTCTGGCTGAAGGCTTTTCCACATTCCTTACACTTATAGGGCTTTTCTCCAGTGTGAGTTTTCTGATGTTTTGTAAGAGATGAGCTCTGGCTGAATGCTTTCCCACAATCCTTACACTTATAAGGTTTCTCTCCAGTGTGTGTTCTCTGATGACGAATAAGGGCTGAGCGGTCACTGAAGGCTTTGGTGCAGTCATTGCATTTATAAGGTTTCTCTCCAGTGTGAGTTCTCTGGTGTTGAGTCAGGGCTGAGCAGTAGCCAAAGGCTTTCCCACATTCATTACACTCATAAGGCCGCTCCCCAGTATGAGTTCTCTGGTGCTGAATAAGGCCTGACCGATCACTAAAGGCTTTGCCACATTCATTACACTTATAAGGTTTCTCTCCAGTGTGAATGACCTGATGTTGGGTAAGAAATGTGCTTTGGCTGAAGGCCTTCCCACATTCATTACACTCATAAGGTTTCTCTCCAGTATGAATTCGCTGATGTTGAGTGAGGTATGAACTTTGATTAAAGGCCTTCCCACATTCATTGCATTCATAGGGTTTTTCTCCAGTATGAATTATATGATGCCGAATAAGGGCTGAGCGGTGACTAAAGGCTTTCCCACATTCATGGCATTCATAGGGTTTCTCTCCAGTATGAATCCTCTGGTGTAGAGTAAGGTGTATACTCTGGCTAAAGGCTTTACCACATTCATTACATTCATAGGGTTTTTCTCCTGTGTGAATTCTCTGATGCAAGACAAAAGCTGAATAGTAACTGAAGGCTTTCTCACACTCATTACACTTCCAAGGTTTTTTTCCTGCACAAATTCTCTCATGCCTAATTATATCTGAATTTTGTTTTAAGTTCTTTTTAAATGAATCACAAGGATGTAGTCTCTCTCCTTGTTGTTGAACGAGTAATGACCTCCGACTAAAATTTCTTCTAAATTCATCACGTTGGTAACTTCTCTCCCCAGATGATTTCTTCTGAGTGACAACCTCTTGTATTAAATGTTTCTCATGGTTTTCTTGCTGACTCTCTGAAGAATTCTCACATTCACTAGAAGCTTCCTTTGAAAATTTTTCTATTAACACCCCAGGGGCTGATTCCTCTTCAGAAATGTCCTTCTCTGGACATAGCTCCTTGCTTTCTGGTACTATCTTCCAGTCTGAAAGAAGCAAAAATACACATGTATCATTTCCTACACTGAGAGAAAAATAACTGCCGTGGTAGGAAAATAATGAAACAAAGAAATAAAAAATGCTTTCAGGGAACACATGAACTTGAAAGCTCTCAAAAATAGTCTTGCAATCTTGAGAGAATGCAAGAAAAGAATGATGACTGGGCAAATAAATATGGTTGCATTAAAGGAAAGGTGCACAGGAACTCCCTATTCCTCTATGCAGAAGGATAGGAAATGAGAAAGAATAACAGAAGAATACTAAGCAGAAGTGATGTGGAGAAATGGCAGACAAAAAAACAAGATCTGCAGGAGGCAGGGCTGGGATCAGAGAAAGACAGTCTCCCAGAGATGACTCACTATACTCATCTCACCAGAGTCTCATCATTTCATGCATTGAGAATGACCATGTTTAGATGATCTCCTTGCCACCAATCTTTTCCCACTCCAGTATGTCCCAGTCACTGCTAAAAGACAAATCTTTCAAAACCATCACTCTTAAACAAAAATCTCTGTTTTTGGTTCCATGGACTTAAAATGAGCCACAAATTCTACAAGCTAGCATTCAATGTGCTCTAGATCCACAAACTCAAATTTTCACAAAGCTTAGTAATTAGGAAGCAAGTGATTATCTCCGATTGCTTACCATCAACCCATACCCAATAAACTGGAAACAGTAAGACAGAACTAAGTTCAAAAAAAAAAGAACAGTGTGGGGAGGGGAAGTTCAAAGCTCCACGTGCTCAGTTTGGTCCCCAACCTGTCAGGACATCTGCCCCAAGTTCCTAGGCTTCCTAGTAAGAGTTTGGGAGGTGGGGGGGAGTTTCATTTCTAAAAATGTTTAAATACTTTCAAGCTTAGATGGTCTTTAATATCCATTCCAATCATGCCTCTACATGAGATAAATAAATACTATGTACTCAACTACATATCATACTCAGGGAAGTGCCTGGGATTTTAAAGGACAAATATGAAGAAATAAGTTAAAGGCAAATGAACTTCCAGCTAAGGGGAGTGGAACAATCAAAGCTCCAAGTGTTCATGGAGAAGACATGGTTAGTGGAGGATAATAAGGGACTTGCCTGCCTGGTGTTAAAGTTTCAAGTAGAAAAACAGAGAAGGCAGGTAGACAAAAAAAGCCCTCTAAAGTGGGTAGAGGAATACAGAACCGGCAGAGTAAGCAACTAATTGCAATCTACCAGTATTATGCTGCCTTAATTTTACAAGGATAAGACTAAAGAAAGTATAATTAGATGGTAGTCTTTTGCAGTAATCCAATGACAGAAGTAACAGGGTCAAATCCATGATATCCTTCAAAAAAAATTACTAGGACTTAATCAATAGCTATCATTTGCTTAGCATGTAGTCAGGTACTGTTCCAAACATTTCTTTCATATTATTTCATTTGATCCTCACCACTTATGAGCTAAGTGCTACCATTATCCCCATTCTAAAGGTGGGGACTTTGAGTCACAGAAAGGATAAGTCACTTGTTATAGGTCACAAAGCTAATGAATAGCTGACACCAGCTTTGAACCCAGGAAGACTGGTTCCAAAGTCTGCCCTTTTAACCACTGTGCTATGCTGCCTCTGCTTAGATAAAGAGGAAGGCAAGGGAAAACCCAGAGATCAATTTATAGTCATTGGTCTGAGACTCAGAAAATAGCATTACCCTCCCGAGAGAAAATAACATATGTGAAAAAGCCTGGTTTAGGGCCCTGAACCCAAGCAAGTTATTAACAACATTAAAATATTGGTTTCATTCCACCTTATCTGGGAAAAAGAATTGGTTTGAAAGAGTGGAAAGTATTTACCTTCTAAAAAATGAAATTATAACTTTATAAACTATAGATCATCATCCACAGAGGTGGAGTATGGCACAGGGGAGATAGGGACTTCAATTCAACCTTTCCATGGGTCTAGCAAAATCTGGAAAGGCTCCTCCACAAGCATTTCCATCGACTATCTGGGTTTTGTTTTCACTGTTTCCAACAGTCACTCACCTGTACTGGCTGCTTTTGAGACATCTCTCTCCAGCTCCTCCCCATGCTCCAACTGAGAGATTACATTAGGCTTGGAAATTGGAAGCCCTGTTCGCAGGGAAAGAAAAAGGAGTCTGGTAAAGAGTTCAGTGTTAGTTCCTTCGTCTTTAGGGAAGACAGTATGAGAAACAGTGGGAGAATGAGGTCAGTTCTGGATTTCCTCTTCAACAATGCTCAGAAGTTAGGAAGACTGATAAGGGTTTATGTGAGTTTAGAACAATTAAGTCCCTGCTTTTTACCTTTATTTATTAAAAGAATAAGCACCCATTTTCTTAAGAGTTGCTTTCACTAGCACTTTGTCTTGACATCCTTGGTCAAGGAGTAAAAAAGGAGGATGCTACAGGTCCATATAACAAAGGTGTTCATTTCTAACTTCACAAGTGTTAAAACTATATCCAGAAGCAAAAAGCAAAATTGCCTGTCTCAGGCCTTACAGGAATTAAAATCTTTGTATCTAAGGACCTCAGAGCTCCTAGGAACTGAGGAAGCAAAGACACCATACTGGGTAAACTCAACAGGGGTCAGGGGAGCCATCCTTACCCAGCAAGACCAGATTCCTATGCTTCTCAGGCACATCACCCTGAGGAGAGTTCAGCTGCCCCCACTGGGTAAGAGCCTCAGCCATATCCCTGATCATCGATTCCTGAAAAACCAAACACATTGGTGCTCACCAACAGGCCTCCTTCCAAAGGCCTTTGAAAAGGATTAAAACTGACAGCATGGAAGAAGGAAGACAGGAAGGATAAGAAGGTCAGAAAAAATGACCTCTAACATCCTTTCCAACATTAAGATTCTCTGGCAAATTTGTAGTTCACAGACTCACTCTTTGCCTCAATACATCAGAATTGCTTATTACCTGAAAGTAGGAAGGAAAGCACCTCAATATAAAATCTGAAGGTATAAAGTTCTTAATTTATATATCAATAAATTATATTATAGAACTATAGAATTCCTTACTATTTATACATGGAAAAGGTGAAAAAATATAGTTATAAACTAAATATTTTCTTTATGGTATGGTTTTTAAAAATTAAGGGGTTCAAGAAATGTGCAGTATTTTTCTCTCTGGTTTTCCTTTCACAATAAAATTAGTCCTAATAAGATATATTAAAAATTTATGTTTTCTGCCACTTTAGAGGACAAAAAAAGATGTTTCCCACATTTGTCATAGAATATAGACTTATTTGTAAAACAGTATCTCAAGAGAAAAGAAAGACATTTCCTACATTTGTGACAGAATATAGATTTATTTATAAAACAATATCTCACAGAGAAAAACAAGATGCTTCCTACATTTGTCACAGAATATAGATTTATTTATAAAACAATATCTCACAGAGAAAAACAAGATGCTTCCTACATTTGTCACAGAATATAGATTTATTTATAAAACAGTATCTCAAGCCCAAATTTACAAATGTTCCCAAAGTGTTCTTGTCATTTCTCACAATGGCCCTGGTCTGTCTGGTCCCCAATCTATTAAACTTTCTTCCCCATCATATACTACTACTCCTACTCTCCCTGAGCACTGTTGGTGACTGTCTTTCAGGTGCTTAAAATGTGTGCCCCATTCCCTTTTGCCCCTTTATACATGCTGTTTCCTGTTCCTGAACGTTCTCTCCCCTGACCCATCCTCTCAGCTATCTGAATCCTATTCACACTTCAGATCTCAGCTCAGGTGTTACCTCCTCAAGGAAAGCCTTTTGTGACACCACGTCCCTTCACTTCTCTTGGGTTACACACATTGAGGGGATGTTGTGATTAACAACTGTCTGTCCCATTACACTGTAAGCTCCCTGAGAGCAGAAGCCAGGTCTGTTTCTGCTCACTGAAGCAGCCCTAGTACCTGGCACAGAGTAGGAACTCCGAAAATATTTAGTTGAATAGTTGAATGAAGGAAGGAATGAACAAGAATTAGTAAAAAACAAGTTTAAATAGGGTATTCTATAAAAATGTGCACGAGAACAGAGGTGGGAGGGGAACAGAAGTATATCAAATATTGAAAACATTGAATGAGTGTTTGCTTTAGCCTAACCCTAATCTAGATGACAGGCACAAAGTTTAGTTTGTCTACTAAAATGTAGAGGGAGGGTGAAGGGCAGGTAATGCTCCTTTGAATCTATTTACTGTTGATAAGACAAATAATTTTTCTAATTCTATTTTTAAAAAATTGCTATACAACTACAATTGAAACACATTAAAATAGACCAGTCCTGGGTTGCTAGCAAATGAATCGGTCTTACCCATCTTTGAACTACCACTTTTGCCACAGCCCCCTGCACATATATATGAATATAATAGTTAATTTTGTTTATATTTAGCATTCTAATGCATATTACATAGTTCTCTAAAAACAATGCATGTAACAAAACAAAGTGAAAAGAGCTACCTACTTTGAAAATCTCCTGCCCAAAATAAACTATTCCTTGTAAGACTTGAAGTATGAAATCATTACACTTTTTATTTAAGTTTATGGTCCGTTAAGGCCATATGCCCCAGGAGTGATCAACACAAGTAATATAATTTGTACAGTCTTCTTTCTTTATAAACAATGCTAATACTAACAGACTAATTGGCAGTTTCTTTTGGACTTAAGTTCCCTGAGAAAACCTCAGCAATCCAATTCATTTAAGTGTACATGTACTGGGGCTGGAAGGTACTGGCAGACCAATCAGATATTGTCCAGTAGATGCTACTTTCTGCTCTTTCTCTCTGAAAGTGATCTACAAATTCACAGATCAAAATCAATACTGGTATTTTCTCCCATGTTGCATAAGGATCATCAGCACCCGTATGCTGAGAGGCTTGGTGTGACACAGACAAGTAGTCTCAGAACCTGAACCAAAGGGACCGCACATCTCCCACCATCCTAGCCAGATCTTATAGAAGCATCCTTTCTAATCATCTCTCTTCAATCAGTTATGGCATGTTTCACCTTGCTGGTCCTCTTACTTTTGGTCACTTGTCTACCCAGTTGTAGACTATCTGGTGATCCAGCTACAAGACACCCAAACCTCCCTTACTACACTCCAGCCCACTCCACAGTGACTCACACACCCCCTGAAGATCTACAGCTACCTCATCACTTAAAGACTTTTTTTTTTTTTTTTTGCCAAAGTTGTTTTCTCTCTCTTGGAATATTCTTGTATTCTACTCTCCAACTACCCACTCTCTCTTGTTTTTCAAAATGCAGCTTTTATCCCAAGCCTCTCCCAAATAGATGACAGAAAACCTCTTCCAGGGCCTTTTATGACTTGCCTGCACCAGTCATTTCTGTATTTAAAAAATATATATTTCATCATGTTGTTTAACTATTTTATTCATCTATATCTTACTGTCTCAGTAAACTCCATGACACAAGGGCAAGTGGCTTTTATTACTTTGCATCTCACCACGAGGCCAATTATAGTATTGAACGGTTGGTAAGGGTACAGAAAGCACTTAGTGGGTAGAGAAAAAGCAATGGTGGGAAGGAAAGTTCTGCACAAGTGAGAAGCATATCCTATGAATTTCATCAGTCATCAGTTATCAAAATGAATCCAATGGTCTAGGAATCAGTGCTGAGAAATTCCATAACAAGAGAAGAAAACATATCCATGCTCTGAAAACAGAAGGAAAAAAAATTCTAAACTTACCTGTGACCCAGAGGTTAGCAGCACAGCAGTCAAGCCATTTTCTTTTGGGTTTCCAGCATGGAGAAAGTGCAAGTCCTTAGAAAGTGATCCTAGAAGTGGAGCCAGGAGCCAGGATGATTACTCTGTCCTTGCAGTAAACTCACAGAAACAGCCACCTGCCAGCTACATGTTGTCTAAGAGGAGTCAATGCAAGGAACCAAAGGACAATCCCACAATATCCTTTAATCAAGATGGCCTTGATCATTGCTGCCTCAGGTTCCTCCTGTCCTCCTCTGCCCTTAAACTCCAGTAGAAATTTGGTTTGAGACTCTGGACACATAAATTAAATATGTATTTCTACCTCTCGTCTGCTGATTAGTCAAAATAATACTCAAAGTGTGTCAATCTACGCCTCACTTAATGATTCATCTCTGTGATATTCCAGGCTCACAGGATGAAGGAAGAGTAGCTAAATTCTTTTTGAACATTGGCTTTTCAGATACCATACTGGTTGTCTCAGAAAAGCGATGGGTCTTGTGGAAAAATAATCAAAAAAAAACCCAAACAAAAAACATCTGTATTGTAAACAAATCCTGTGACCCCGCCTTCCCTACCTGCCAAATGGGTCAAATGGTCTCCTTCCTACTGCATTATGGGGTTCCTCTAAGGACAAAAGGAAGTCCTTATCAAAAGCCAAATTGTCAGATGTGTTCACTTTTGGGGACAAGGAAGGCAACCATCATCTTACAGACCAGGAGCGCAATCGAGGTGGCTGGTGAGCTCTCCCTCAAAACCCCAACGTGAGATCAACTAGTAGGAAGGGACTCTCTCACACAGAGGACGTGATGCTCCTCCTTCCTGAGCCTGCCCCAGCCAGAGGGCAGCCTTTCTCCTTTCCTTTCTCTCCAGCGGGCACCGCGGTCGCTTCACTCCCAAATTCTCACCTCTGGCCCCAGGCTCCATGGCGACTCCCTCCTCCGCCCGTGCCAGAGACGACCGCCACGGGGGAAGGACCTGAGGGTCCACCACTCGGGTCCACGCAGGCGCTCGGGAACGCACGCGCGACCCTCGCCGGGCGGCCCAGCGACCCCTACCCCGGGGCCCTCCCGTCGTCCTCCGTCCGAGCTCTCAGACTTGGAAGGGCATGCGCTCAGCCCCTCTCCACCCCAGACCCGACCTCACGCCGGACACGGACGAAGCCTGAGTCACGAGACAAAAGCTTCTAAGAGCCGGCCGGGCCGAGCCGCGCCGGCCCAATGTGAGCCCGAACTACAACTCCCAGAATCCTCCGCAGGGCGCGGTTAGCGTCCCCGCGCGCAGCTTCCCAGAGGACCCAGCGGCGCCGGGCCTTCCGCGCCTGGGGCTGTCTGTTAGCCTAATTTGCGACGGCGCGCGCAAGCGTGTTGACCCGGACGGACCGGCGGTCCCTATGTGCTGACTCTGGGCGCCAGTCACGCCAAACCCTGCCTCGTATGGGCGTCGGACTTTCGCATCCCTGCAACTGTAACCGCAGAGGGCGGCACCCCTGACCCACCCAGGATTCCCCCCTTGGCTGCGGTGCTCCCTCAGAGCGGACGCGCTGGCATCCCGAAGGATGCTTCCTACACCCTCGTCATTTTCTCCCTGCTGCGCCTCCACGTGGCCAGCACAGAGATTATCTCAGTTTACCTCAAGGAACCAGGGATCTTTGTGTTCCAGACTGCATCCCGAAGAAAGAAAAGTGGAATTTCAATCACCTCAGCCCAGAAATAGCCAGGTCCCCAAGAAGAACAGGTAACTGGTACTACTGACCCAAGGTGACTGGAACCTTAAAGTTTTTCAGATTCCCCACGGGCCCTAGGAGTTGGTGAATCTTCAGGCTAGTGCGTGTTTTCACTTATCTTCCCACAGTAAAGTGCCCGTGTCTATCCAGTTCAAACTCCCAAGAGAAAATGTAATTAGCTTAACTGTGTTCCTGTTTGGATACAAGCCACAATGTCCAATTGTCCTTTCTCTAACAGAATCCCCAACTTTTAGCTATGCCTAAGGCTTCCCAGAGTAAAGATGCCATTTCTCATCATTCCTGCCTTTTGCACACACACACTCCAAACCTCCCCCCCTCCCATCCCGCGCTGTGCTGGCTGGAACACAGACAATAAGTCATCATGGGCTAGATTAAAACACCCTAGGAATGGCAAACCAACGAGATAGAAGGAGCTGAGCCCCTGACAATTTATTGGAACAGAGCTTGGGCTTTAACGTGAGAGATGTAAACTGGTGTTTTGTATAAGCCACCATTATTTCTTCTACACAGATAGCCACACTTATCTCCAAGTGGCCTTTCGATTGCTGTTTTGAGTTCAGTCAGTTGGGGCTGGGGGGATAAAGGGACATTTAGAGACACAGCCCTGCCAGCTGCAACAACAGTCGGAGGGAGTCTCCCCACCTTTCCATCAGCAGGAAATGTGATGTGCAGTTTCCTGTAAAGGATGGTGTGTATGAAAGGCACCACCAGCTGATGTGTCTGAAGCACCAGAGAATACCTTTCTTCTTGTCGCTAACCATACCCACCACAGAAATCCCTTCTTTTGTCACCAAAACAATCATCAGTTATTAGTCTTCATCTCACTTTACCTATGGACAGCACTTGATAAAACTTGACTCCTCCCTGCTCCTGGAAACACTCTCTGGTTTCCCTCCTCCTTGACTGGTCACTCCTTCTCAGTCTTGGTAGTTATTTCTTCTTCTTCTCCTTTGTCTCTAAACCAGTGGTCCATTGTTGACTGAAACATTGTTATGTGGTACGTGACTATATTGGGATCAGAATCAGAATCAGATCAGAATCAGATTAGAATCAGATCAGAATCTGAAAGGCTTGTTAAAACAGTGCTGGGCTCCATCCCCATTCAGGCATTCTGGGGTGGCGCCTGAGAATTTGCATTTCTAACAAGTTCCCAGGTGACGCTGAAGCTTTTCATCTGGGAATCAACTAAATGTTGGAATGCCCAGAGCTCAAACTTTGGGCCTCTCTTCATTTTCTGTCAACACTCCTTAGGCAATCTTGTTCAGACTAGATGCTCGAAATATCATCCAAATATAGTCAACCACCATTGTATATCTCCAGCCTGGGCTTCTCCCCTGACCTTGAGCTGTCTCTTCCACCCCTTTTCTTTATGTTTAATAAACATCTCTAATGTAGCATGTTCAAAAGTGAACTTCTGCTGCCCCTCCCCACCAGTGCCACACCTTTTCCCCCTGCTGTTTTCCCCACCTCAGTAAATGGCAACTCCATCCTTCTAGTTGCTCGGTTCAGACACCTTAGAGTCATCATTTTTCTCTTTATCTCACACCCCCATCCAGTTCCTCAGGAAATCCTATTGGCTGTACTCTCAGAATATATGCAGAACCGGACCACTTATCAACACCAGGCCACTACCACCCTGGTCGAGGTCCCCATCGCGTTTTGCCTAAATCACTGCAAATGCTTGCTCATTAGTCCCGCTGCTTCTACTCTTGTTGTGCACACTCTGTTCCCAGCACGGTTCCTCCCTCATCTCTGAATAAGAGCCAAAGTCCTTAGAATGGCCCACAGGCCCTGCATAATCTGCACCATCCACCCCTACTAGCTCTCTGATCTCAACTTCTAGGACTTTCCCCTAATTTGTTCTGTTGCAGCCACACTGGCCTTCTTCATCCACAAGAGTGCCAATGTGGCCCAAGAAATTAAAACAATTATACTTTTAAAAAATACCTAGATATCAAGAACCCATCCTCCCCCTCATCCTGGTGCTCACACTCTCTCAGCTGCTCTCTGGAATTATTGCTTTGTTAATGAAGCAGGAATTCTCAAAGATGTAGGTGTGAGGATGCCAATCCAAGTTTCTATTGTGTAAGTGTGAACAGGGCAGTCTATATTTTGATTTCATACCGATGTTGAGGGCCAGAAGGACACCAGGTCTAATAGGGCTTGGTGGTCTGGCTTTCAGTCAGTCACATCCTCATGTCTGTTGCTTTGGTGCTGAAGGATGACCATTCATGCATGAGCTATATTTGGGTTAACTTTGGCTTTGTGGTATCCTTTGAGATTAGACATAGCCCCATCTCCTGATTCATTGTGGCTAACCTCTTCAGCCTTGGACTCCACCCAGCTTCCATGGCTGCAGCTAGCTGCTTCAACTGGACTTTGGTTTGTTTGTTTGTTTTGTATTTCAAAATATTAAGAGGGTACAAATATTTTTGTTAACATGGTTTGCGTCAGGGCTATAAATGTGCCCATCACCTGAATAGTGTTCATTGTACCCATTAGGTGGGTTTTTGCTCCTCCCCCCACCCCCGCTTGATTTACAATGACTTTTACTTCCCTCTGTGCACTTGTGTGCCCATTAGTTAGTTCCAATTTATCAGAGAGTATATGTGGTGTTTGTTTTTCCATTCTTGAGATACTTTGCTTAGGATACTTTGCTTAGGATAATGGTCTCAAATTCCTTCCAAATTGTTGTAAAAGGCATTAATTCATCATTGTTATGGCTGAGTAGTACTCCATGGTATACATGTATCACATTTTGTTAATCCACTCATGAATTGATGGACACTTGGGTTGATTCCAGATCTTTGCAATTGTGAATTGTGCTGCAATAAAAATTTGAGTGCAGATGTCTTTTTGATAAAATGACTTATTTTCCTTTGGGTAGGAACCCAGTAGTGGGATTGCTCATCAAATGGTAAGTCTACTTTTAGTTCTTTAAGAAATATCCACGCTGTTTTACAGAGGGGTTGTACTAATTTGCAGTCCCACCAACAGTGTATAGGCATTCCTTTCTCTCTGCATCCATGCCAGCATCTATTGTTTTTGTACTTTTTTAAAAAGCCATTCTAACAGGAGTAAGGTGATATCTCATTGTGGTTTTAATTTGCAATTCCCTGATGATTAGTGATGTTGAGCATTTTTTTCGTGTTTATTGGCCATTTGTCTATCTTCTTTTGAAAAACTTCTGTTCATGCCTTTTGCCCACTTTTGAATGGGGCTGTTTGTTTCTTTCCTTGCTGATTTGTTTGAGTTCTTTGTAGATTATGGTTATTGCCCTTTATCAGTTGTGTAGATTGCAAATATTTTCTCCAATTCTGCAGGTTGTCTATTTGCTCTGTTGATTATTTCCTTACCTGTGAAGAAGCCTTTTAATTTAATTTAATCAAGTCCCACTTATTAATTTTGTTGTTGCTTGGACTTTGAACTTTTTGGTATTAATATTTTCTCCTTTAGCAGCTACAAGTGAAAATAGGATTAGAAAGGGAAGGTGGTGTGTCCAGGGTGTCTATGGACTGGCAGAGCCAGACTAAGGAATCTTGATCATCAATGAGATTAAACAAAGATAAAAAACAACTACCCTAGAAACAAGAATATTTGGTGATGGGCTAGACTACCAGAGTCCAGAAGTCAGGTTATGGGACAGAAGAGCCAAAGTTCAGGGAAACCAAGGGTGCTGAGAGCTGAAGTGAAGAAGAACAAGTCACCAAAATCAAAGCTCCAGGAAGCTATAAGAGGAGTGGATTTAAGAGCTAATAGCGCAACTATAGTGAAAGCATTTGCAGTCCTAAATAGATATAAGCTATATGTTTATTTTCTTACTGAAGTTTCTAGTTCTACAAAGTGCACTTAATTTGGGGCTCAAGTTCTCATGACTAGACAGGTGTTCATTCATTCAGAACATATGTGATAAGTTCCAGGCACCACACTGGGGACGCAACAATGCACGGATAAGAAATAATTCCTGGCCAGGCGTGCTGGCTCACGCCTGTAATCCTAGCACTCTGGGAGGCCGAGGCGGGTGGATCGTTTGAGCTCAGGAGTTGGAGACCAGCCTGAGCAAGAGCGAGACCCTGTCTCTACTAAAAAAAATAGAAAGAAATTATCTGGACAACTAAAAATATATAAAAAAAATTAGCTGGGCATGGTGGCACATGCCCTGTAATCCCAGCTACTCGGG